TTTTTTTCCATGAAAACATTTTCCTACTTTTGTCACGTGATCATATTTTCTTCAAAATCAAGGAAAATACTTTTTTTTTAGAAAAAATGAGATTTTATTTTCCAGTAAATTTACTCTCTTATCTACACCCACTAAAAATCGGACAAGTATAATATTTTCTATATTGAAAATTAAATTAATCAAACACATTTAATTGACAATTTCGATATAAATAAGTTCTAGGCAAATGAATTACCTAAAATTTATTTTCTTTCAATGCAAATTACATGCTTACAATCAAACGCACCATAAAATCATTTTCATTTATTGGTAACACAAGTGCATTACAAATAGAAATAATTATCTAATCCTTAACCCTTCAACCGCATTACAGCAACCTTGAAAACAAATCCCAAAAATCAAATCTTCTAGAGAAACTCGTTTTCTTTCTTGTAGTCTTCTATTAGAGCTCAGCAATTCGGGCATTGTATCTTTACATCTCTCGTAACCACCAAATGGTTGAGGAACATTAGCAGATAACCATTTTTGTAAATTCATTTATTCTAATGATAGCAAGAAGTTACGATATAAAAATAGAATATATTTGATTCAAAATTCGTCTTAAAGAGAATACATTGCAAATCATTTTTATAAATCAGAATTCAAACAATATCTTTATAATATAATCCATTCGAAACAATAAAATTAAAATCTTAAAACAAAGTGACGTCACATTATTTTTATAAGAATGTATTTTTGAATAGTGTATTGATAGGGAAATGTGTGATTAAAAAATAAGGAAATATTTTGGATTTGTATTTAATATTATTTTATTGAAAAATATGTAGTTGAAAAAATGTGAAATCTCTTTTTAATGGTTTTTTTTTTAAAGGACGTGAGTCAAACAGGACCATCCATTTGTAAATTACACTTTTGTCCAACAAGAATTGAAAAGTTTCATTTAGGTCCTTAAGTTCTAAAACTTTGTATTTAAGTCACGCGGAGAAGTATAAAAGGAAGGCTGATAATTCAGTTTTTCATTGCAATTTGCATCTAAACCCTAGCCACTCCCAAATCTAAATCAAAAGCAGTGATGGCGGTGGAGGCAGCTATGCAACCGAGCAAGGTGCGGTGGGGGGAGCTGGAGGAAGACGACGGGGAGGATCTGGACTTCTTGCTGCCGCCGAAGCAGGTTATTGGTCCTGACGAGAACGGGATAAAGAAAGTAGTGGAGTACAAGTTCAACGATGAGGGAAACAAGGTGAAGATTACAACCACAACTCGCATCCGCAAGCTGGCCAACGCCCGCCTTAGCAAGCGTGCTGTGGAACGCCGCTCCTGGCCTAAGTTCGGCGACGCTGTCCATGAGGATGTCGGCAGCCGCCTTACCATGGTTTCCACCGAAGAGATTCTCCTCGAGCGTCCCCGTGCTCCAGGTAAAACGGGCTTCTGGAATTTAATTCTTTATTCATTTTAGGTGCGATTTAATGTATGATTTGGTTTCTCCTTTTGAAATGATTTGTAGGAATTTTAGTTGTGAATATGAGGTGCTTTTGAATGGGTTTCCGAAATTTAGAGCTTTATTCATATTAGGCGTGATTGAATTTTTATGATTTGGTTTTTCCTTTTGAAATGAGTTATGGGAATTTTAGAGCTGAATATGAGGTGCTTTTGAATGGGTTTCTGCAATTTAGAGCTTTATTCATATTAGGCGTGATTGAATTTTTATGATTTGGTTTTTCCTTTTGAAATGAGTTATGGGAATTTTAGAGCTGAATATGAGGTGCTTTTGAATGGGTTTCTGCAATTTAGAGCTTTATTCATATTAGGCGTGATTGAATTTTTATGATTTGGTTTTTCGTTTCGAAATGAGTTATGGAATTTTAGAGGTGAATCTGAGGTGCTTTTGAAATTGATTTTTGAATTTTGGAGCTTTGTCTTAGATGTGATTGAATTTATATAGTTTTGTTTCTTGTTTTGAAATAAGTTCTGTTAGAGGTGAATTTGAGTTGCTTTTGTGGCAGCTTGGTAAGTGATAAGTAAAGGGTTTTATTATTTTCGTTTAAAAGTAGAGATAAAGATATGGAACTCATGAGATTTATTTGAAGTTTATCATATAATAGAAACTGGGGAGAGTTACAAAATTTATATGAAAGGATTATTCCTCGCATGTACTGTAATATTTTGTTTTTGATAAATTAATGGATGTTTTAATCTCAACCCCAAGGTAGAGTGTAGACTTGCTTTAGAGATTGCTTACCATTAGCTATAATGGCTTAATAACAATTGTTCATCTCTCAAGCACACCAAGGTATCAACTTATAATCATATCCTCAAGGACAATGCTTTCCAAGCAAGAGCACATAGGATTAGTAAATCTTCTATCTAATGCACTATGGCATTTTGGTAAACATGCTTTTCGCATGAAAATTTACCATTGCATGGTTTACTTATTTTCACACTGTGGCATCATTGTCTTTTTCCTTTTGTTTTGTTTGATTAGAAACTATAAACTTATTTGGTCATGTCAATATTTTGACAAGATTGTTAATGATCCGCGTCATTTATTTTTGGTTTCTGTAAAAGGGCTTCTGATTCTTGAATATTATCTCACATTTGATTTGTTAAATATTTTTGTTTCACATTAAAATATTGTAAATTGCACCAGGAGTCCCAAATCTTTCAAAAAAGTGACGTGGGTCCAAACATTTCATTTTTGCATCCAAAGTCCCAATCCTTTAAATTAATATGCTTAGTTGACCAAAAAAAATAGTGAAGAACCTTTATTTGACCAATTTAAAGAAGAGCAAAAAGATATTTTCATATTATCTTATTTAAAATGATTAAAAAGGCTAAATAGAAAACAAAAAGTAAGAAAATAACTAACAAAAAAAATTTAAAAAGAAAATGCATCCTTCGTCCTAACCCAAAACATACCCATCTCCCACCCCCACCTGCCACCATCACCTCCACCCTACTCATCTTTATCCCCATCACAACACCACTCACTATTTTCCTTACTCCGCTAACGTTGAATTAGATTTAAAACTCTGGTTTCACTGCTAAAACAGAGTTTGGATATTTGATTTTGAGATTATTATTCCATATTTCCATTGGAATTGAGCAAGATAGACTTTTATGACTCTTAAGTCCGAATAAGTTAGAAGAACACAATTTTCAATTTCAAGTGAGATTTTGCTAGTTAGAGATTTCTACTAAGGTTGAGCTTTAGAGCTCGGTGAAGTTCACCGATATAAGGTGGGATTGGTTCTACCCAGCATAAGGATTTGGAGGGAAAACAAATTTGAATAAGGACATGAAAGTTGATTATTGGACAAATTCATTTGACGTAATTTAGTCCCAACAAACGAACAATTACTACATTAAGACTAGGCCCCAGACAGCATAGCATATTGTTAACAATTCAAGAAAATTTGACTCAGGCAAGTAAATGAACTCATCTGGAATGCTACAATTGTTTTGCTCGAGCCTCAAACTTGAACTCGTGCACAAGTCATTTGGTATTGACCCAAAAAGCATTTTTTTTTTTAATACTAAATTGTTACTCCACACTTTTTTGAGCAATCCTCTCTAGGAATAATGCCAACAAGCTACTTTGAAGACAAATCCAAGTTTTGAATCTTCTGGTTTAGGCCATGATTGGCTTGGATAGTTCCTGTGAAATTGTTCTTTAAAGATTTGCTTTGGTGGTGGCAGGGTGGGGGAGTAGGTGGTGCAGCAGTGGGGATGGGGATGTGTGGGATGGTGGTGCTAGGTTAGGGATGCGTAGGGGTTGGGTGGGGAAGAAGGAACCATTAAATTAGTTTTTTATTGTTTTTCTATTTTTAATTCGTTTGTTACTTTTTTTGTTTTCTATTTCTCATCTACAATTATTTTAATCCCTTGTTTCAGCCACAGTCTTTGGAAAAAAATCCATTCTTAAACAGTGATTTGACATCATTCCAACCACATATTCTTCAATAAAGAAATATTACGTGCAAATCCAAAACTTTTCCTTATTTTTTAACCACACATTTCATATCATAACACTGTTCGAAAATGCATTTTCTTGGCAAAAATAGGGCTCAAACAAGGGCTAAATAAGATAATGTGGAAAGACCCTTTGGCGCTTCTTAGAATTGGTTAAATTGATGGTCCGTCGTTAACTTTTTGGTCAATTAACTGATTTTTGGACGAACATAATCTGCATATTATTTAAAGGTTTGGGATTTTGGATGCAAAAAGGAAAGGTTTGAACCTACAACACTCTTTTGAAAGTTTGGGATCCCTAGTGCAATTGACCCTTGAAATATTGATCAGTTCTTACTGCTTACCATAGGATTTCTAACATTGGTGATTGGTTTGCTCATGATTTTAGTTTTACCTGCACTTCTTTAATTTAATATAACTTGATATATGCTGAAGCTGGGAACACTTGATAATAAAGTAAGAGAATGGGAACTAATGAAGAAGTTCTGATTTACTAGAATAAGATAAAAGTGAGATAGGTGGATTAAAATTTAACGTAGTCTGATGCAGTTGTAAAGAATTGGTTCACTAGATCTTTTAATATACGTAGTGATGAATTGAAACAGAGTGGTGAAAAAGGTTTTATTTATGAATTTCCAATTTTAGTGAGAATATGGCTTAATTTATTTGCTTTCTTTTTTAATTTTCCACACTTCTGAAGTCTGAATAGTTATTGATTTCAATGATTTTTTCCCCTTGAAAATTTCTATCGAGATACTTGTTTGCTAACAAAAAAATCTTCAAAAAAAGAGAAAAAAAAAAACACTCCGGTGTTTATTGAGTGAGATACTTCGTGACTTGTTGGCTATTCTCTTCATCTTTGTGAACTTCGTTTATGCACTGGAAATAGTCTGAAACACTGCATGGAATTGTTATTTTATTATTTGGCTGTCCATTTGTAATATTTATGTGAAAGTTTCTCTGTCGAGTTCAGGGTAATTGCTGATAGTTAAGCATGATTATTCTAGTGTTTATTCAACCAAGTAGTAGGTTTATTGATGGTTAAAGGCATCTTCTAGGTTTTTTTGTTGTTTTTTCATTCAAACTCCCAAGTTTGTTGGTTCTTGAACTTGCTTATTGATGAATGGCATATAGGTACCAAACAAGAGGAGACTAAGGTTGCTGGTGATCCTTTAGCTCAAATGGGTAAAGGAGGAGCTGTTCTCATGGTCTGTAGGACCTGTCTTAAGAAGGGTGATCACTGGACATCAAGATGCCCGTACAAAGATCTTGCTCAACCAAGTGAGAGCTTCGGTGAAAGGCCCCCTTCCTCGGAAACTGCTGCTGCTGCAACTGATGCTACAAAGAGAGTATATATTCCTCCCATTGTGAGAGGTGGTGGTGCTGACATGAGACGTAGGAATGAAGAAAACTCTGTTAGGGTCACCAACCTTTCAGAAGACACACGGGAGCCTGATTTGCATGATCTATTCCGTCCATTCGGTAATTTGAGTCGAGTTTATGTTGCTGTTGATCAGAAGACTAGCATGAGCAGAGGTTTCGGTTTTGTCAACTTTGTGAACAGGGAAGATGCTGAAAGAGCTATTAACAAACTTAATGGATATGGGTATGACAATCTCATCCTCAGAGTTGAATGGGCCGCTCCTAGGGCAAACTAGTTCTCTCCTTAAAATCATCGAGTTGCTTTATTCTGTCCTAAATGAAGAATTCATGGATTCTTCTCCAAGCTTTCAAAGTGAGATTATTACTATGTCTCGTCAATTTTTATGCTTATTGCAGGTTGGTTCGTGTTTTTGTAGCTTTGTTCACACGTGATAGAAATGATGCTTTGCCGAACTGAGTTGAAGGGACTCGCTTCGAGTTTATTTTTGAAACAAATTAAGGATGTGTTTGGTTTGGATTAAAATTTAATTTTAATTTAAGTTAAAGTCAAACAATAAATATTAACATTTTTCATGGATTTCATAACTTTTCAATCACACATTTCAAAAATTTCTATTACAATTTATTAGCAAATTTAATTTTAATCTCTGCCAAACACAAATCTAAAGTTGGTTTAAGAAAGCTGTCCTTATTATGCTTTCTCGATGTGAAGATTTGATTATTGTATCTGTTTAATACCATATTTGTTAATACACAAGCGCAAAATAAAAGTTAAAGAGATCAGTTATACCAAGTAATAAAGATTATCAAAGAAGAAAAAGGAAGTTAGCACAGGCAAGCAAATTTTGGGAGTTGAAGTGGGGGAACGAATTTAATACTGAGTCATAGTTGTCGACATTCATTTCGTGTCATTGATATGATCATTAATAAGTATTGATGAAAGTGTATCGGTCACCATGAATGATAATATCAGTTGTAATTCTTTCTGAAGTAATAATTTTAATTAGAGTCACCAATTGTCGACGGTCATCAAATAAATTTTTATAAAGGATTACTTACTTTGTTAATTTCTTTTTTTTTTAATTATTATTATTGTTTTTGAAAAAGCACTCTACATTTTCTAATGGCAAAACAACCCAAAACTTTCATACGTATTAGTCATGCTGCGGAAAGCCCCCAATCTTTTGAAATAGCACAAAATATCCCTCTTTCAAACCTTTAGTGCAGAATACTCCTCTAAAATCGTGTTCCGTTAGTTTTGCCATTAAATCTCAATAAATAGGGAAAAGAAATAGAAAGGGCAAAATTCCTTACCTAATACTATTAGACATAGTGCTCAAAACCCCCCACATATTGAAATTGACGAGAAAGGTTCCTATTATCTAATTTCTCTATAAAAAAATTGAAAATGACGAACATACCTTCATCCTTAAATAAAACAAAGACTAAGCAACATAAAACTCTACCTGCTGGACACGATGCCAAAATATTAACCTTTTAGAAATGGCACAAAAATTCCCTATTTGAAACTTTTAGGATGGAATAACTCTTTGTCGTCTTGTTCTATCAAGTCTAGCATTAAATCCCACAAATATTGGAAAAAATAGAAAGTGCAAAACTCCAACTGTTAAACATGGTGCATAAATCCACCCACATATTGGAATTGGTGAAAAAGGTCCACATAATCTATTTTCTTAATAAAAAGATCATAAATGACGAATATATCTTCTTATTTAAATGAAAAGAAAAAAGAAAAAAAAATTATTTTAACTCTAATCCCAATTTTTTTCAAATTAATGCAAACAAGTCCTAAATAAATTACACAGAAAGGCAAATTTATATACCAGAATGCAATTTTGTTCACCTTATTCTATCCTCACCGCACCGCACCCCAGCCACTCTACTAATGAATACCACAGGCAGTCAGCACTATACTCCCAAAATCGCTGATTGCACTATACAGCGAAAACAGTTTATGGAACCATCTTTCAAATCAAGTTCTCCACACCCGTTTATTGAACCCATTCTTCCATCTATTGTCCAAATAATTCTTCTTATTTCTTCGACTCGATAAAAGAATTTCTGGAACTCCAGATATGTTTTTTTATTCAGATACAGCACCTCTTTATGCACTGGATCTTTAAGTGATTTTGATGGCATTATGGTCAAATAATTGAATTTTAAGTTCAATGGAATTGATTTGGGTTATGAGGCTTGAAGAAGACGATTGAAGAAGTCTATTTTAGTTGGGGGGATGAATTGCTGTTATTTAAACTGCGGATAGGCTACCAAGTTTTGCAATCAGTCTGTGAGAGGAAGAAGAATTTGAATGGGATTGGAGGTGGAATTGGGAAAGAACAGTGAGTTATTCTCCAATTTTTGTGAATTAATCTATTTGTATGATGGTGATAGATAATGATGGATGACAACGTTGTTAGAATTTGGATCATTAATTTTAAAAATAGTTTTAAATGATTGAACGTGATGTTGTAGTGTGATTGTAAATTAAAATTGTGAATAAAGGTTGTACAAGTTGCATGAATTTTTTGCTGGTGAAGGCGATGAAGTATGGGTTGGGGTGAGGACCCCCTCCCTCCTTTTTGGGGATTTTTTATTTTAATTTTTTTAATTATTTATTGGGATTTGTTTGCACTTTTTTTGAATTTAATTTGATGAAACGGGGGCTATAATTGATATAATGGGGTGAAACGGGGGCTATAATTGATATTACAAAAGAATATTATGTTTATTGTTCCTGAAGAACGTAATATTATATTCTAAAATAATATTGATTTATTATTTTTGAAGAAATAATAATAAAATATAATGTGCTCTCGAAATAGTACTTATCCCAAATAATATATATTTCATTGTGTTCATAAATAAATAAAAATTAAATAACTAAATACTGGGTTGTAATTTTTATAAAAAAATAAAATTATATTAGTAATATTTAAGAAGAATATTAATTTATTTCACTTGAAAATCATGAGTTATAATTTTTAATATTTCAGAAGAATATAAACATATTATTCTTGAAAAAGTAATAATTAAAGAAACGTATCCTCAAAGTAGCACATTTTCGAAGAATATATCATTTTGGATTTATGTTTATTCTCAAAGGAAAACAATTATGATGACATTATTAGTTTGACCATTTGAATAATATATGATTATATAGGCTTTAGAAATGTTTTTTTGAAATTAAAGCATCGAATTATATTTTATATTAAATCAGAAGTTCAATTTCACTTTATTGTTTGACATGACTGGTTGGATCATCACTGAATTAATAATGATGCGAAATTAAAAATTCAAATGGATATTGAATGAAAAATCGAAAGATTTTTTTAATTTAATCCTATATGATATTTGTTCTCTTTCATGAAGTTTTTTTTTATTAATCATCACTAGCTAAAATAGAGACTAAATTTTTATATTTCTGAAAATTAATTAGGGTGATGAATTGGGCCTCATCATCCCCCACGATAATCTAAATATTATTTATATCTCATAAATTTAATACATATACTAGATAATTGCATGGTGTTTGCCATTTGAAATTTACAAAATTACTACTCAAACTTTAAATTATGAGCATAATTTTCAGATTATTTAATCAAGACTATGTCTTGTTAATGTTAATAGGAGTAAATCTTAACATTTTAATAAGTGTTAGTTGGGATGTCGATAAATAGTTTAACATTATTGTTTATTAAACACCTTTAATTAATTTAATTGAAAACAAAGTACTCCCCATTTTTGTTTAGGGAATTTTATTGCGCATCAAAATCACAATTCCCTCTATTATAATTAACTTATGGTTAGAATCTAATTTTTTCATATAATTATTTTGATAGTACAATATATGTAAAATTGAACCACAACAATGTATTGAGATGAAAAATAAAGAATGCTGATAATAAATATGTAGTTTGAACCCTTATCTAAATAGGTGATATTTTATAATGCTGGAAAAACGATTATCAATTTGATTGAATAATTCTCTCAGCATTAGGGAAAGAATTAAGAAATTGAAAATAATGTATAAATACATGATCATCTAAATCCTCACAAAATATCATTCGAAGTAGAAGTTAATTTATTTAAATGCATTTACTGATCAAAGAGATAACAATATATCATGCACCAATTTTAAATGTTCCAATATGAATTGATGTCCTATGAGAACAATTTGTTAGCATTATATTTGATATATTTATGACACGTCTAAAGCGTGATGGTGTTCGATTCTAATACAAAAAGTCATCAAAAAAAAAAAGAGCAATTAGGAAAGATGGTTTCATTAAAGAGACATATACTCTTGACGAGTATTTAGACATAATAAATTATAAAATCTAAGAAAAGTTTAGGTACCTAAAATAATGAAACTTGAGATATCATAATAAGTTATATCATTATGGAAAATGAAATAGAATCCAAAAAAAATTGTCGACAACAATTTTGCACACGATATACTGTATCATCTAGCGAGAAATCAACATAAACATATTGAAATATATCGATTAAAGTAATGAATGACCAAATAAAATGGATGGATGTGATATAATTGTCTTAGCGAATATTTGTTGAAGAAGTTCTATAAAAATGACGATGCTGCCCATATGTTTTTATAAAGAAAATAAATATTAGATTTGTAATTTGTGATAGTTTACGTCGATGATTTAAATTTAATTGGAATTCCTGAAGAGCTCAACAAAATTGTTGATTATTTGAAAAATGAACTTTGAGATGAAGGATTTGGGAAAAATCAAATTTTGTCTCGAGTTACAGATTGAACATTTTTCAAAAAGATTATTTGTTCATCAATCTACATATATTGAAAAGGTCTTAAAGCGCTTTTATATGAATAATGCACATTCGAGTAATGCACATTCATTGACATCACCTATGTTTGTTCGGTTACTTGATGTGAAAATTGATCTATTTCGCCCGCTTAAAGATGGAGAATATGTTCTTGATCCTGAAGTACCATATCTTAATACAATTAGAGTACTAACTTATTGTGCAAACTGAACTCAACCCGATATAGCTTTTTTTGTAAATTTCCTTGGAAAATATTGCTCTACACCGACTTAAAGACATTGGAATGGTGTCAAACATATTTTTTGTTACCTAAAATGCACTATTGATTTGAAATTATTTTATTCTCAAAAGTCGGGATCTGCTTTAGTGAGATATGTAGATGCATGTTATTTATCCGACTCACATAAAGCTAATTTACAAATAGGATAAGTGTTTATATGTGGAGGAACATTAATATCATGGAGATCTGTGGAGTAATCCTTAACAGCAACATGCTCAAATCATTCTGAAATATATTGCAATTCATGAAGCAAGTTGAGAATGTGTATGAAGACAATGTAACTTGTATTGCACATCTTAAAGAAAGCTATATCAAAGGTGACATGACGAGTCATATTTCTCCAAAA